GGGGCCGGCCTGGGAGCCGAGCGGTGGCAGCGCCCGCCCGCGCGCCGGGCGCTGTGTCACCTGTTGCTCTTAGCAGGCAGGAAGCCGCGGCCCAGAGAGGCGCTTCGCGCACACCGCGCGCGGGCCAGGTGCCCCGCGCCCCGGCCGGGGCAGGCACAGAGACCGCGGCCTGCGGGGGCCGGGCGAGGGCGAAGAGGAGGCGGCCGCGCTGAATGAGGGCCTTTGTCCGCTTCCCTCCCGCCCTGCCCCCAGCAGCCCTCTGTTGGTCCATTGTCCCCCCATCGCGGACAAGAGCGTATTATCTGCTCCTGCCATTGTTGGGGGGAGGGCAGCCTTGGGCGACCCTCCTCCACCCCTGCTGCCTCTGCCCCTACAACCAGAAGCTTCAGGGCCCAGTTCCAAAGCGGACGTCACCAGAGGGGCCAAGAGTGGCAGGCCGGGGCGAGGACAGAACAGAGCGACCCTCCTGAGCACGCTCCCACGCTTACTTTGGGACTCGCTGCCGTGGTGATCCCAGGGACCCACGGGACGACCGTGAGCCAGGGCAGCACTGTCGGGCCTGGGGATTCCCAAGCCAGCTTCCCGCTAGAAAGAACCCCGTCAGGGACAGGACCGAGAGGAATCGGGGCTGACGTCTCCTCTCCCTCCTCATAGAACAGAGGCTTCTCCCGAAAGAGCCACGCGTTCCTGCCCAAGATATTCCTCCGCAAGATGTCGTCAGCTGGCGCCAGGGACAAGCCTGAGCTGCAGTTCCCGTTCTTCCAGGATGAGGCCACGGTGGCTGCCCTGCACGAGTGCAAGACCCTCTTCATCCTGCGTGGCCTCCCGGGCAGTGGCAAATCCACTCTGGCGCAAGCCATCGTCAACAAGTACCGCGACGGCACTAAGCTGGTGTCGGCTGACGCCTACAAGATCACGCCTGGCCCGCGAGGCCCCTTCTCCGAGGAGTACAAGCGGCTGGACGAAGACCTGGCCGCCTACTGCCGCCGTGACATCAGGGTGCTGGTGCTTGATGACACCAACCACGAGCCCGAGCGGCTGGAGCAGCTCTTTGACCTGGCCGACCAGTACCAGTACCAGGTGCTGCTGGTGGAGCCCAAGACGGCATGGCGGCTGGACTGTGCCCAGCTCAAGGAGAAGAACCAGTGGCAGCTGTCGGCCGACGACCTGAAGAAGCTCAAGCCCGGCCTGGAGAAGGACTACCTGCCGCTCTACTTCGGCTGGTTCCTGACCAAGAAGAGCTCCGAGGCCCTCCGAAAGGCCGGCCAGGTCTTCTTGGAGGAGCTGGGGAGCCACAAAGCCTTCAAGAAGGAGCTGCGACACTGTACGTGGCCCTGGGTGGGGCGGGAGGGCACCATCCGCATTGTTCCTAGCCTGGCCTGTGGGCATGGGGGCCCAGTGTGCGTCGAATGTGTCCACGGGTGGAGGCTGCCTGGCCACTTGGAGGTGGCCTTGGGGACTGCAGCAGGGCCAGAGAACGGCAGGGGCCACCTGCAGCAGCTTTCCTTCTGGCCTTTCTCCCTCATACTCTCCCAGGCTGTGTCTAGATAGTCATTCCTGTGTCACGGGAAAAAGCGACCGTTAGAACAGGAAAGGCCACCATGCGTGATCAGAGTCACTGTTAGTGGCAGAATCATGTCGCCAAATACAGTGCCTGGGGACCCTAACCGAGTTGTCCAGACTCCTTGGGCTTGGCTCCCAGACTGTGTGGCCCCAAGTGTCACACCTGGTCTGGAAGCCCCTGGCTCTCCAGATGGTGGGGACCCAGGTCCAGAGTGGGGGTATTTGCCACCTGGAGCCAACACCCTGGCCAGTCCTCTAAGGCTTAAGTGCCACGCAGACTTGGCACACCTGCCTGGTATCTGTGGCCATCCTGGCTTCTTGAGGGGCTCACATATGCCTTCACAAGTCCTCAGACAGCTTTGTCCCAGTCTCCTAAAGCATGACTGCTGGAGAAATAGGACTGCCACCCAAAGCTGCCGTGCCCTGAGCTGGGATCCTCTTGCACAGGGGAAGACAAGGGACCACCTCCCATCCCTGGGGCCAGGCAGGAGAAAGCTGAGGACTCTGAAGACAGCTGTGAGGCTGGGAGCCTGGTGGATGAGCTCCCAGATCTGCCTGCTCCGCTGTCCTGTGCCAGGCCCTTCCCTGAGACAAACCTGAGGGTTACTGGGGTCACCATCACTCCTGGTCCCTGTGGGCCCTTGGGTGATGTGGGGCACAGTGGTGTCAGAGGCAGTTTGTCTTGTCATAGTGGATTAAAGGTCAGCTACTTGCCTGAGACCAAAGGGCTGGTAGGAGGCAGATGCTGTTGGTTTTTAGGGTGTGGTTTGTGTAATCCCGTTTCCATGTGACCCAGCTGATGTGACTTGTTGTCCCCTTTCCCTTGGAGACTAACGCTGGTGTCTCCAAGTCCGCCCCGTGCTGCCCACCCTGGGTCACAGGTGCTCTGGAGCCTAGGCAGGGCCCGGATGTCAAGAGGCACAAACTGTAAAGCTGGGGAATTTGGGGAATGCTGGGGGTCAAACCAGGGCCTCGTGCATGCTGGGAGGGTGCTTTGCTGCTGAGCAACACCCCTGGCCTTAAATACCCTGCAGTCCTGGAATCACCATGTGACTGTCAAGGTTCAGTCCGTACTCAGGCACTGAGTTGCACAAGGTGCGCTGACTGGGTCTTCTCCCTGCCCCGTCCTGCCCGTCTCTCCTGCAGTCATCTCTGGGGATGAGCCCCGGGAGAAGATTGACCTGCTGGCCTACTTTGGGAAGAGACCCCCAGGTGTGCTGCACTGCACGACCAAGTTCTGCAACTATGGGAAGGCGCCTGGAGCCGAGGAATACGCCCAACAGGAGGTGAGTGCGCCCTGCTGTTGCCTGCCTGTGCCCAGGCTGTGAGCAGGCTCCTATTTCCAGCCTCTTGGGGTCCACACTAAGGCTACTGCCCCCAAGTGGGGTTGACTTAGGACAGTGGCACTTATTGCTGGGGATACAGACCTTGGGCCAACACAGATGGCCCTCATGGCCCAGCTGGATGGGGGTGGTGTAACCCAGGTGGACATCCCAGCCCCCTGGGTCCCTGCCACCCCCGCTGTGCCTGAGTCTACAACAGTGGCTACTTTCTCCCCCTCAACTGGCCACTGCCCAAAGCCTGGTATTTTCAGTTGTCATCCTCAGTCCCCAGTGCTCAGCATAGCTAAATGACAGCATAGGTGACATCTCTGTGAGGCACCTGTGAGAGGCCAGGTGCTGTGGGCTCAGGTCTAGCAGAACTGCAGCAGGTGTTAAGGCTTAGGACAGTGGGGGACAGTGCTGGGGGACTCAGGTGCCCAGGTGTCACGTGCGTGCATGGTGGCACTGGCTGTGCTGTTACTCCCTAATCCTCACGCTGACCTGGGGCTGGGTTGGGGTCAGGCCGAGGTGCGCCCTTCGGCAAGGTGCTGCCCCCGCAAGTCTCCTCTGTCCCCTGTAGGTGGTGAAGAAGGGCTACGGCAAGGCCTTCACGCTGACCATCTCTGCCCTCTTTGTGACACCCAAGACGGTGGGGGCTCGCGTGGAGCTGGGGGAGCAGGAGCTGCAGCTCTGGCCAGGGGACGTGGACAAACTGTCCCCCTCTGACAACCTGCCTCGCGGCAGCCGTGCCCACATCACCCTGGGCTGCGCAGCCGACGTGGAGGCGGTGCAGACGGGGATCGACCTGCTGGAGATCGTGCGGCAGGAGAAAGGGGGCAGCCGCGGCGAGGAGGTGGGCGAGCTGCCCCGAGGCAAGCTCCTCTCGCTGGGCAGTGGGCGCTGGGTGCTGAGCCTGACCAAGAAGATGGAGGCCAAGGCCATCTTCACGGGCTACTACGGGAAGGGCAAAGCCGTACCCACACACGGCGGCCGCAAGGGTGGCGCGCTGCAGTCCTGCACGCTGCTCTGAGGGGAAGGGCTCCGTGCTCTGCCCAGTCTGTGTCCAGGTTTCTTTTTTTACTTCAGGTTAACCTACTTGTAACTTTTTAAACACTGTAAAGTAACTGCCTGCTCCTTCCCACCTGGCCTCCCCTCCCTCTAACACTCCAGCTCTCAAGCGGTCAGGAACCTGGGCCGGCATGCTGCGGCCATGCGCCAGCCTGGCTCTGGGGATGGCACCGCCAAATGCAGCCCGAGCCTGGGTGGGTCCTGAGAGTCAAACCTGTCACCCTGGCCCTGCAGGGGAAGCAAGGATCCCCTCCTGCCTAGCCTGCAGCTTGCCATCCCCTCGTACCACATGTGGTAGCAGCTCCGTGTGGGGCAGAGAACAGCCCAGGAAGGGCACGAAGGGGACGTCTGCCATCTGGGCCTGCAGGTGGCCTGTGGCTCCCCTCTCCAGGGGGCTGGCGGTACCAGGAGCCAACAGGGAACCCCTGGTTGGCAAGGGCACGGCGCCCCAGCCCTTGAGCCTGAGCCGGGTGTATGCCTCAGCTCTAAGCATCCCACCCCTGCTCAGTAACCACCCTTGCTAATCAGAGTCACTTGGAGCAAGTGCTGGGGTGAGTCACTGTCCCCTCCGAATCCATCATGTCCACCTGCACCTTGCAGACTGATAATGAAATAAAGTGTTAATCCCAGCTGCGTGGTTTCTCTCCAGGTGTCCTGGGCCGGGCTGGGGCGTGCTGGCTGGCTTTGTCCTGCTCACAGCTGGAGCTGCTGGTCCTGTCCCTGGGCTGGCCGCATACAGCTGGCGAGGTGGGCAGTGAACAGTACTGGCTTTCATGGGGCAGGAGGGCAGCCTCGGCCACGCGCAGCGGGCCGGCTGGAGCGGGGCTGCTCGTGCCCCACAGGTGTCCGCACTCTGGGACTTGCAGGGCGGCGCTGAGCAGCCTGCGTCACACAGGGCCGAGGGTGAGAGCAGGGAGCAGAGCACCCTGGGGACAATGTCTCCGACAGGAGGCCAGCGTGGTGCTGTCTCTCCAGAGCGCCCAGGTCAGCGCCGCGTGGGGCTAAAGCAGCTGCCAGTCACGGGCCAGAAGCAGTCACAATGCTTTTATTTCTCCGTTTTTCTTTTTTAATAAAGTTAAACAGTAAGACAAAGATTCACAAGCTGCCTCCCCCTCTGCAGCTTGGCTCCGTCCTGCCTGCTCACAGCACAGCCACGGCGACAGCGTGGCCAGCCGAGGGGCAGGGCTGCGGGTGCGGAGCCAGGATGGGGAGGTGGCCACGTCCACACGCGAGGCTGAGCCAGGCGAGTCTGTGTGTGCAGGGGCTGGAGGGGTGGCCTTCATTAGCCGAACTGAAAGAAGAAATTCCCTGGACCGGACGCTGGAAGGCAAAGGCACTGGTCAGCCGCTCTGGCTCCACCACACCTGGCCTGGTCCACCCTTGGGTGCCTGCTGTGCTGGGCGCTGGCTCCTGCAGGGCAGCTGAAGACCTTCCTCTGCCCTCTGCAACACCCGGGGCTGCCGCCTGTGGGATGAGCCACGCTGCCTTCCCGCCCTCCAAGGCCCCCAGGCACACCCACCTTCAAAGCTGAAGCCCCCAGGACCCCCGAAGAAAGCCTTGAAGATGTTGTTGGCGTCGAAATCTGCTGGCAGCAGGGGGTGGGGGGAGAGGCCACATTAGCAAGTGCAAAGGCTTGGTGCCCCCACCTTCCACAGGACTAGCACCCTACCCCACCCCACCCCACAGGCACCCCTCTCCTGCTGTCCTGGGGCAAGGTCCCTGCCCCTTCCAGGTGGTAGAGGGAATGAAGCTTTCCCTGTGCTTCAACAACCTGCCCCATCCCTTCAAAGCTATCACTATCAACTTGGGAACAAGACCCTTGGTGTGAGCGCTCAGCAGTGCCCTCTGGACCGGCACCTGTGGGCTGCTCTCAACAGACCTCCTCCCCTCAAGCAAGTCTGGAGCTCAGGTCCCTGTCCCATGGGACCCCACGCCAGAGGGCACTGTGTAATGAGTGGGACGAGCCCGGCCACTGGCACAGTCCACAACCCTCACCGCACAGAGCCCCAGGCCTCCTAAGGTCCCCCCAGCCCCCAGGGACCTACAGTACAGGGCCTCGTCGGCTCCATGCCACACCTGTTCCTGCACACGGGCTGGGGGTCACACTTGGCCCAGGGATGGAGCCTGCAAACCCACACTGGCTCCTAGAAGCCAGGGAGTGGATGCAACCTGCACTGCCCGGAGCCCAGCTGTTGGCCTCAGCCTGGGGCCACAAGTGGGCATCTATAGGCTCTGGTGGGCTTTGGGGCACAGAAGCACCCCAAGTACAGGCTCAGTGAGGGCCTGGGCCACGCACCACCCATGTTCATGCCCTCTTCGTCCAGGTCCTGGCCACTGTCGTAGCGCGTCTTCTTCTTGGGGTCCGAGAGGATGGTGAAGGCCTCACCCACTTCCTTGAACTTCTTCTCCTCCTCTTTCTGCACCTCGGCACTGGCTCCACTGTGCCGATCTGCGGGGGAAGCAAGAACTCAGAGCAGGCCCAGGACCCCAGAGGCCCCGGGTGGGCAGGCTGTGGCCTGGCGCCCTTGTCCTGCCGCCTACCCGGGTGGTGCATCAAGGCCCGCTTCCGGTAGGCCCTCTTGATCTCGTCCTCGGAGGCATTCTTGTCCACCCCCAGGATCTTGTAGTAGTCTTTCCGCTTGCTCTTCTTCAGCTCCAGCTGGGCGTTCTTCAGGAGCTGCTTGTGCTCTGGGGAGACGAGCAGAACCACAGGGCACAGTGACACAGTGACACAGCCGCCTGAGCCACAGCGGGCTGCTCCGTGCTTCCCTCCAGGCGGCCAGAGCCCTGCTCAGACTTCAGTCCTCACAGCAGCCACGCACAAGGTGAGTGACAGACGTGGGACAGAATGCAGGTCTCCATGCCCCTCCTGGGACCGTCACCACCCCGAGCCCCACCACACGGGCAGCCTGTCACCTTTGGTCTTCTCTGTCTGGTAGACCTTCTCGTAATCCCGCACCGCCTCCTCGTACTGCTCCGTGTCCATGTAACTGGGGGGACACAGGGCAGGTGTGCTCAGCCCTCTGTCGGAAGGTGGCCAGCTCCTCCAGGGGAGCAAAGTGGTGCCTGCTGAGCGCTATGGTGCCAGAGCAGAGCCGTGAGCAGGAGCAGCAGCAGGCCCGGCAGAGGCAAGGAGGGAGCAGGAGCCACCAGCCGCGGCGATGTGAGCTGACCTTCCTCGGGACCCCTTGCCAGGAGACGGCAGTGAGCCAACGTGGGGCGCGAGGCAGAGGCAGCATGACGAAAAAGGCGCTCCGGGACCAAGGCAGGGCCCCCAACCCAATGGCCTGCCAGTGGACCCCGCATCTTCCCACACAAGCAAGTGGCACCTTCCGAGGCCAGGCAAGACTGCTGCGCCGGCTCGGGCCCCATCTAACCCCCAGCAGCCATCCGCAGACACTGAGGCCCAGGAGCGGCTCAGCACCCTCCCTGGCTCAGCCCCAGGGAGGAGGTCATGCGCACGAGGGCTCTTCCGTGTCTTCTTTCCCTTCCCAGAGTACTGGGGAGGGAACCCAGGGCCTCAGCACCAAGTCACGTCTCCAGCCTTCTCTACGTCACTACGGGGCTCACTCAGTCTCTCAGCTGTCCCGATGGGACTTGAGCTGGCCATCTTTCTGCCTCAGTTTCCCACTTTCTGCATTTGTGGAGTACAAATGCATGCCACCATGCCCCTTACATTAAAAGTCTGCACATGCCACAAAGGAGCCAGGCTGAGCAGGGCTTCCGAAGCCAGGGAGGCACGTCTCATGGCCTGCCCTCTCCACCTCCAGACTCCTCTTCCGCCCGCCCTGCCCCGCAGCAGCTGACCATGGGCTGCAACATCTACACACTGAGCCCAAAGCCCTCTGCTCGCTCCCGTGGGTGCTGGGCAACCAAGACATAGCTGCACCCGAAGACCACCACAGCCGCCCCGAAACTCCCTACCCCATCCAGCCCTGCTCTGCCTGCTCCCTGCAGACGGGGGTGCAGGACACAGAGCGACGGTGTCCTCCCCACTGGGAGTGGGCCCCTCTCCCTTTCTGCCACCTCCACGAAGCTGCAGCCAACACCTTCTGCGAGCCACTCTCCTGAGTGGTGGCGCGTGTCTGGCTGGCTCCAGGGACAGACCCTGTCTCTTATGGCTGCTGCCTCTGTCCCCTGCGGTCGTCACACCTGGACAAGTGAAGGCGCTTGCTGGTGTGGCCCGTGCACTCTGCACACAGCCAGAGCCACACGCCGGCCTCGCTGTGAGCTAAGCACCTTCCTGGCTGCAGGGTGAGGCAGTGGGCGGCCGCAGCACCCGCGCTCCACAGCTGGTTCACTGCAAGAAGGCGGAAATGTGGGGGGACGGGCACGCAACACACCTGCCTTCTCTTGGGCTCTGACGACGGGAGTCCCTGCCTGGGAACTACCTGGTCTGAGGAGGGGCGGCTTCTGATGGACCTGTGCTCGCCTTTGGCACCCACGAGGTCTGAGAAAATGCTCTGCCAGGTTCAACAGTAAAAACAAGGGTCGGGGCCCAGCTGCTGGCTCCCAGGTCCTGTGCCAGGCACAGCACAGCTGCCCAGCGGGCACCTCGGCGGCGGCTCGTGGCGGGCCATGCAGAGCCCTCTCTGGTCTCGCAGGCACCCAGCTGTGGACGCTCCCTGGTGAGCACTGTGTACAGAGTACTGCCCCACGTGGACCCAGCTCCACAGAGGTGGACTTGAAGCTGGAGGTAGGGACGTGGTCTGTGAGGAGACTTACTGAGCGTGGGGCTAGTGCAGGCTCGGAGCCACAGACCGCAAAGACAGGGCAGGCTGCAGCAGGCCCACCTAGAGCGGGGAAGGAGCACGTGACCTTGCGCCAAGCCTTCCACAGTGCCTGCCACTCTGGGCTGTGCCTACTCACCACTGTGCTCTCCTCAGGTAGGCTTTGATGTACGTGTCGTCCAGCGTCACGGCGCGCGTGCAGTCTGCAATCGCCTCATCCAGCTTCCTGAGCTTCAGGAGAAAGTGAGCAGTGCGCAATGAGCCGCGCGCACCAGAGCAGCCCAGCGGGCGCGCGCTGCTTGGAAGCCAACGGGCGGGAGCAGAGCTCAGAAGCTTTGGGGTGGGCGGGTGGGCATGCTGGCCTAATCACGAGCTCAGCCCTGCGCTTGGCACTGGGAGGCCAGGGCGTGGGTGGACCGCGTCTCTGCTCTGTGCGGAGGCACCCACCCTCCACGCTTGCTGCAGGGACGAGGACGACTGTGATTTCTAAGTGCAAGGGCAAGGAGCCTGCTGCCCTCACTGCGGGCCACAGGGCCCTTAGGTACCTCAGCCATGCAGTCACCGTCAGCTACACCAGGGGGACATGCTGCTGCCTGGATCCAATCTCTTCCAACTCATCCCTAAAGCTGACGGCCTCTTGCTCAGGGCAGGTGACTGAGTATACTTGCTAAAAGGTGCCCCGAGCCCCTTGTCATGTGCCTACTGGAGAAGAGAGGCCATGCGAAGAATGGGGACCCCTGAAGCGGCCCCTGAGCCCGAGATGGGCAGTGCCCAGTGGCTGGAAACTCCCTTCCTGTGGCTCCCATCTGACTCACCTGGGCAGATGTCCTAGACCCCCAAGACAGCCCTAGGGCCCTCCCTCAGTCTCCAGACTCAGGGCAAGCGCTCACCTTGGAGTTGACAGTTCCCCGGTTACAGTAGAGCTTGGCATTTGTCTTTCTGTTGTTGGGATCTATGGCCAGGGCTTCTGTATACAGTTCATGGGCTAGTTTATAATTGCCGTCCTTAAATGCTTTATTCCCATCCTCCTTCTTGGCTTTGAGGGCTTTGGCGTTCTGCAGGGAGGAGTGAGGCGTGGTGTGCGTCCTTGAGACCTCAGCCCGCTCCCACCCCTCCCGCCACAGGAGCCAGCACACGCAGCCCCAGCCCGTGACGCAGAGGGGCACAGTGAGACCCTCCCAGGGTTCATGGCTCACTTTACTCCCCGGAGGAGACAAAAACAACAAACCCAAATACCCATTTAGGTTTTAGAGCACCTGGCTTAGCACAGTGCAATCTGCTCCAGGAAGACAGCAGTCCAGAGCCATCTCCACGGCGGCCAGGGTGGGCAGAGGGGGCAGGACAGAGCCACCCCGTGCACTCACCCTGCAGGCCGCGCAGGCCTTCTCGTGGTCCGGGGCCATCCGGAGCGCCTGCACGAAGAATTGCACAGCCTTCTCGATGCAGCCCTCATAGTAGAGGCACAGGCCCCGCACATACAGCGCGTCCGCGTTGGTGGAGTCTAGCCGCAGGATGTCGCTGCAACACCGCACGGCCCACTCAGCAGGGCCGGAGCCCCAGCCCATTTGCAGCCAGGGCCTCAAACACCTGTCCCATGTTTAGAGGACCCGGAAGCAGCAGACTCCTGAAAACCCTCCGCAAAGCACACCAAAATGCACGTGCATTTATCGCTAAAGCCTCTCTTCTTCGCAAAGCTGGGATAAACCGGGCCTCATCCACGCCACGTGAGCTCTGGGCTGCTGGGCCGCACTGCCAACCCCCGGCCCCTATCGCTGTCTCTGGGTCCGTGGTCCACACAAAAAAGGTGGCCAGCTGCACCCCACTGGGCAAGTCCTTTCCTGCTGCTTTTTTTTTCCACTACTGGATACAGAACTTCGGGGCTTCATGCCAAGCTTCATCTCAGCCTTTTTGTGCGAACACAAGAACTCACCACTGCTAAACTGACCAGGCTGGGCTCACACTTGTGACCCTTCTGCCTCCCCTTAGTGCTGGGACTGGAGGCCCTGCCACCATGCCAGCTGTACCGGTCAGGGCATCACCGCCTGCTACCTCTCGCTGCTTTGGGATCACAACGGCAGCGCCCACAGGTACAACAGAGCTCACCCGCACAGGGACCACATTCACGCAAAGCTCAACCTGCACACGGCGACGTGCTCCTGTACGCTCGGCTCGGGGGGGCTACGCGATGAGGCCCTGACATGCTTCCTTCCTAAGGCAAGGTGTGGGGCAGCTGCCCAGGCTGTACCCAGACTCGGGCCCACAGCCCTGCCCACGCTGGCCCCCAAGGACCAGGACAGCAGGCCGAAGCCGCCACTTGGGCGCGCGAGCCTGACGACCGATCGGGCCAGCGCTCGGCTTTAGGGCAGGAGGCCCGGGCCGGCCGTGGCGCTCACCTGGCCACGGACTGCGCCTCTGGGTAGCGGCCTAGCATCGCCAGGCACTCGGCTTTGAGGATCTTGAAGCGGTGGCAGGCGGGGGCAAACTCCAGGGCCCGGTCCATGCAGAAGACCACCTGTGGGAGGAAGGAGAGGAGATCAGGCTCGGGCCCAGACTCCAGAACTGTCTGCACCTTTGCCTGGCCACAGCGGAGACCGGGGAAGGCTGGAGCAGGCACAGCCCGGCCCGCTCACCTGAAAGCAGGTGCTGGAGGAGCGCAGGCCATCGAGGACGGCAGCCAATGCTTGCCACGCCCTTCGCCCACCCACTTAATCCCCGAGATAATTTCCTATATTTTATTCTTGTCTTTTTGAGACAAGGTCTTGTTCTGCAGCTCAGCCTGGCTTTGAGCTCACTTTCAGCCCAAATTGACCTTGAACTCACAGTGATCCTGCCTCAGCCCCAAGAGCTAAGATGACAAGCTGCACCACCACGCCCGGTTATTTCCTTTATTTTAGTGATGAGAAAATCAAGGTTCAGGGTTGACAACATTGTTAAGTGACACACGTAGGACTCTGAGAACCACTCGGTTGCATGCAGGGCAAAGCATCCACAGACAGAGCTGCGGTGCTGGCCCCCCTCAGGTGGGAAAGGTGCAGGGACCCCCTGGCTCTCACCCTGCCCTGGGGGTGCAGCTTGGTGGCTGGGGCCTGGGAAGCCTGGTCCTGCGCTCAGCTCTTTGCCCCGCCCCCACGTCCCTTCAGGGACAGCTGCAGGCAAAGAAGATCTTTGTTTCCTTCAAGTTCATCTGTTTCCTTGCCGCGATCATAATTCTTCATTTGTGACATCACTGTACACTAGAGAGGGGGGCGGCTGGGATGTCACACAGAGGATTCTGTCACAGACTTAGGATTTTGGCTCCAGAGTGGGCAACGGAGAAAGAACACAGAAGACCGCCTTTCATGACAAAGTGCTTGCCTGTGTGACCTCTGAAACGTGACAGCCGGCCGAGTCGCTCCACACACACCCCCCAACACAGATCCCACTACAGAGACACTGTGCTTATTAAACTGACAACAGGGACGAGAAGTTATCCCTGGGCTGTGCGTACGCTGATCAGATGGAGTACATTTATTACTAGAGGAGAGCACTGCAGTGCATGAGTTAAGGACGTGCGCTTTGGCTTTTTGCAAGTCTCACTATGGAATCCAGGCTGGTCTTGGCCGTTATGCAGCCCAGGCTGGCCTTAGCCTTGCAGTGAGTCTCCTGCCTCAGCCTCCCTCGGCCGGCTGTCACGTTTCAGAGGTTACACAGGCATGCAGCCCATGCCTGGCAAGAATGGTTCTTTCTCATCCCCTTTTATCACAGGTTCACTGAGCGCTGGCTCCAAAAAGCACCAAGAGAGCCATGCTTGGGAAACAGTAACTCCCTCTGTGAAGGTAGCTGGTTTCTTTTAAATGATTCTGAAAAATCCTCCAAATCCCTGTGTTTTAACTTTTGGGAAGCCATTTTTCTCCCCCTTGAAATGGAAGTGACAATTATTTCTGCATCCTGTCGTCCCATCACTTGGGAGGCAGGACAATCACTGTAAGTTCAAAACCAGCCTGGGTTACAAAGTGAGCTTAAGGCCAGCCTGAACTGCATGGTGAGTCTCAAAAACAGATGAAAAAAAGAAAAAAAATATTTTTGCATATCCCAAAAGAAGAGAATTTTGATCACCCAGTCCAGGGACAACAGCCCAAAGAGCCCCAAGAGAGCTAACCAGGACTCTCAGCTCCCCAGGCCTCTGGTCTGTCAAGCCCTGCAACTCGGGCCCTTCCAGGAATCATGCACTTTACACGTAAGAACAGACCGACAGCAGAAAGATGCGGATCCCTGGCGAAGTGGCACAAGCCTACGACCCCAGCACTGGGAAGGGGAGGCAGGACGGTCCGAAGTCCAGCCTGGACAACTGAGTGACTAAGCAAGACCCACTCTCAAAATAAAACCAGAAGGGGCTGGAGAGATGGCTCAGTGGTCTAAAGCACCTACTTGGAACAAGCTTGGCAAAACACAGCAACTGCAGTTCGATCCCCCAGCACCACATGTCAGCCAGCCCCGCTCACTGGTGGGCTGAGCTGGCTACACACACACAATAAATACATGTAATAAACAAATAAAAAAAATAAAATAAAAATAAAACCAGAAGAGGGGCTGGTTGGGGCTGGTGAGATGGCTCAGTGGTCTAAAGCGCCTACTTAAAACAAGCTCAGCAAAGCAAAGCACAGAGACCAAGGTTCAATCCCCCAGCACCACATGCCAGCCCGCCCCACCCCCTGGTGGGCTGAGCTGGCCACACACACACACACACACACACACATAAAAAAAAAAAAAAAATTACAACATCAAAATAAAACCAGAAGACAGCTCAGCAGACTAAGTGCCTGCTTAGGCAAGCTTGGGGGCTGGGGTTCGATCCCTAGCACCACATGCCGCACCAGTCCCGCCCCTGGGTGCGCTGTGCTGGTGACTGAGTCCAAGCATGGGGGTGCATGCCTGTGATCCTAGTGCTGGGGAGGCTGAGGCAGGAGGATCACTATGAATCCAGGTGGCATAGTGAGACCCTACACAAAATACAAAGCAAAGCCAGAAACAACAAACAAAAACCAAAAAAACAGAAGGGCTGGGGTCACAGCTTAGCACAAAGGCCTTGGGTTCAGTCCCTGGCTCTGAAAAACCTGAAGCAAAACAACCCTCTCCCACAACAGTGATGGCGATGGATTTCAGTGTTCTAATGCAAAGGGGCTTTTCTCTGTTTTTGTCTTTTTTTTTTTTAATTATTTATTTATTACATTTATTTATATTGTGTGTGTGTGTGGCCAGCTCAGCCCACCAGGGGGCGGGGCTGGCTGGCATGTGGTGCTGGGGGATCGAACTGCGGTCCCTGTGCTTTGCCAAGCTTGTTTCAAGTAGGTGCTTTAGACCACTGAGCCATCTCTCCAGTCCCATGTTTTTGTCTTGAGAAAGGGTCTTGCTATGTCTCAGACTGGTTGGAAACTCCGTAACCTAGGCAGACTAGAACTTTTGACCCTCGTACCTCAGCCTAACAGAGCATAGGGATTGTAGTGTGCCATCATGCCTGGCTGTTTTTTTGTTAAATAGGTCACAGTTTACAAACACAGAAGTTAAAACTGGGCGCAGAGGTGCACGCCTGTATCCCAGCCCTCGGGAGGTCGAGAAGCAGGAGGATTGCTGACAGTTCAAGATGAGCCCTGGGCTACAAAGTGAGCTTAAGGCCAGCCCAAGCTGCACAGTGAGACCCTGTCTCCAAAAAGGGGGAGGGGGCGTGGGAGCAGCTCAGCAGGCCTAAGCGCTCGCTGCTGGGCCCAGGCCCAAGCTCAGGCCTGGGGAGCACACACACGAGCGAAAGCCAACTGTCTTTATTACAATAAAAATGGACTGTCTGCAGCTAATCTTTAACTCTAATTGGCTTTTCCTTCTAGTAAACAGCCTGCTTTGGGGGCATGACTCTGTAGCAACCACACAAACAGACGCCAGCGAAGAGCTCCGGTACACCAGCGCTACACACCTTTCTCTCCTCTGCTCGTCAACTGAACCAGGTCTGCTGCGCTGCAGCTGTACCCCAGCCCTCCCCGCTTCCTCCTGAGGCAGAATCTCACGACATTAAGTAAACTGCCCAGGATGAGCGTGAAGTGTCAGTCCTCCTGCCACAGCCTCCTTGAATGCTCGGGAAAGAAGATTTTTAAGATAAAAGCAAAAGGCCCAGAGCCAAATCCAAGCACCAAGTCACCACCGCCGGTCTGCGGCACTGCGCTGCTGCCCCTGGGGGCCGCATACCCCACGCGAACACCTCACCCGCATTCTGCTGGAGCGGAAGACGGCCTGCTCGTAGTCGTCCTTACCTTCCGAAAGTCTCGCTTCTCGAAATCCGTTTCTGCTACCTTCTCATATTCCATAACGGCGCTGGCATTCTTGAACTGCACAGGAAAGCAGACACGTGGAGACTTTAGTGAAGGCAGAGACTTAATCATCATAAAAATCTGCACACCTTGATTAGCTGCTCCTTCAAGAACATCACGGCTCTAGCATTGCAGAAGAAAGCAAAGAAAAAAAGGCCGACTTGCGTGTCAGGCTGGCAGCCACCACGAGACTCGACAGCGTGCCCAGCACCAGCCCCGTGAGCGCCCCTCGGACGCAGAGCTGGGCCAAGACCACCACAAGCCGAGGTGACGTGGGTGGGGAGGCACGCAGCTCACTGCTCACGGTGAGCTGCGACCGCTCGTGCAGGGTCGGGCTTCCCGAGCTGCTCGCGGCGCGCTGCCTCGCCAGCACCCGAGCCTGTGTCCTTCGGCATCGCTGCTGTCACCCCGCTGCGCAGAACACCGCGCTGCCTGCAGGCGTTCCCAGGAAGGGCTGGGCAGCTCGGCTTGCTTGTTTCCCAGTCCTGGGGGCAGAACCCAGTGCCCGGTGCCCAGCTCCGTCCAAGGCAGGGTCTCGCTATGTGGCTGGCTGACTCCAACTTAGGGGCCCCCACTACAGCCTCCTAGGGCACGGGGGTGACAGCCTGCGCCGTGGCGCGGGCTCACTGCACAACTCTCACGCTGTCAGCCAATCGTATGCAGAATCATTTGACGGGGGAGGCAAGCAGGGCTCAGGGCAGGGCTGAGGGGGAGCGGTCCCAGCCAACGCCTGCTGCATAGGACACCCTGCCACTACTGCTGCTGTCACCCTGTTTCCACCCCTGCACAGGGGTCACAGCAGACAGCCCGCACCTCCTGCTGTGCCTGAGCGTTTCTGTGATCCAGTTCTAGGGCTCTCTGGAAACTACGACACGCTGCCATGGCATTCCCCAGAGAGAGGTGGCATTTGCCCTCTCGTAGATGTCCCTAGAAGAAACAAAGGAGAAAGAGGACTGTGACCAGCTAGGCAGACGCGACTGGCAGTGGCAGCAAAGTGCTGTGCAGAGCTAGGCGTTCCTGCTGGGGTGTACGTGACCGCCCCCCAAAACTGAGGCCAGAGGCCAGGACCCCCTCAACGGCAGCCCCGGCCCGTGGCCCCAGGCCCCCAACACACCCGCACGAAGCTGTCGTCCAGCCGCACCGACTGCTGCGCATCCCCAAGTGCCTCCCGGAACCGGCCCAGCATCATGAGTGTGGCCGCCCGGTTCCCGTAGTAGCTCGCGTTCTTGGGACACATATCTACAGGGGAGGCAAAGAGTGGGCTCAGGGCAGCCAGGTCCTGACCACACCCCTCAGCTGCTACTCAAGGAAACGTCACTCTCAGTAACGATGAGCGAGGCCAGGCTCGGGGTGGGGAAAGGTCCGTGCTGGAGCTCCTCCTGCCTGCAGAGTCCGAGGCTCCAGCCCCGCCATGAGCAATGCAACCATGATGAATGGGTATGCCAAATGGGCATGCGGTGCGCACCAGCCGCTGAGCGCTGAGCATGGGGAGGCTGAGGCAGGAGAGCACAGCTCTGAGGCCAGTTAGAGCATTCTGGGAGAGCCCGCCCTAAGGAGAGCAGGAAGAGGGCATTGGCGCCGCTTGCAGAGGCCCCAGCAGAGTGTGCCTCGGCCTCGACGCAAGCCGTGTGAGAAGAAAACAAGTCAGGGCCTCGCGCGCCGGGGCCTAGCACCTGCGGGGCAGACATGGCTGGCTGGGCTGCTCAGCGTCGGAGCCTGCACCTCGCAGCTCACTCTCACCCAGGGAAAGGCAGCCCCCGCAGTGCGCCGGCAGGCTCAAGGGCCGCCCCTCAGGTTGCTTTCCTGCTGTCTGCCCTGTTTTTTCCAACACTGGAAGTTGAGCCCTGAGCTGCTGCCCAGCTGTATGGCCTGCCCCTCCTGTCCCAGCCTTGCAGCCTGAGCCACCAGCCCTGGCTCTAAAGGCCACCTCCTGAGACAAGGAGAACCACCCAGACCCGCTGGGGCTCCACCGCCCACAGGGCACCCTTACCGATGGCCTTCGTGTAGTAGTTGAAGGCTTCGTTGTAATCCTTCTTGGCGTAGTATGCGTTTCCTTGCTCCTTGAAGGACTCTGCCTCTCTGGGGAAGAGAAGGAAGCAGGTTACTGGTGTTGGGCAGGAGCACCCTGGGCCGGTGGCCCCAGCCCACCGTGCTGGGAGGAGATGAGGATGGGGAGGCGCGGCCAGGCCAGCAGGCAGAGGGCAGCAGCACCTGGGCCTGTCTCCTGGGGACGTGTTCACCACCAGGCCCAGCCCAGCCACCACCCTGTCCACAGGCAGCGCCTCAGACAGGCGCTTGCCCAGTCCCCCTGGCCACTGCAGTTTTGCTGTTTCAAAATATGGTGCTAAACAATAAAAAATAAAAAAATGGTGCTGGGGATGAAACGCTGGGCCTGTGCATGGTAAGCACACACTTTAGCACTGAGCTCACAGCAGGGAAGGAGTCTGTGTGCGTGCCTGTGTGTGCAGACCCTGGGCCTCATGCACGCAGCCGGCAAGTGCTCCGGTTCTGAGACACATCTCTGATCTTTTTGTAAAATACAATTTTCAGAGAAGGTCTTGTTACTGTGCCAGCCTCACCTGAACTCTGCAACCCTCCTGGCTCAGCCGCCCAAGGAGCCAGGGGTGCAGGGGAACTCTACCACGCAGCAGCCCAAAGCTAGCCATGCTGCAAGGTGGAGCGGAGGCTGGCCTCTGCGTGGGCCGCGTCCTAGCCCACTCCGGGCTAGGGCACAGGCGGGCACCACCGCCTCCGGCCTCGTCCGGAGTTTTCTACCTTTGCCTTTTCAGGGCATTACGACTGCCACCACCTTCAGCCTTGCAGCAAGCCTGGCTCCAGGCAGGAAATTCCACAGGGGACAGTGACTTCCCTGGGAAGTAGGTCACCTCCTCAGTGTCCTGAAAAGTGGCTCGAGTGCCTGTCCCTGAAGGCCAGGCAGTGCAGAGGCAGGTGGCAAAGGAGTGGGAAGCACAGTGTTCTCGTGTGTAAGGCAGGAGCAGAGCCAAGCCTGCAGGAACACAGGCGGAGCAGCACTGCGTGGAGCAGCGGCCTCCAGGTGCCCCGCCCCCCAGCATGGCTTGGCCCATCCACAGTAGCCAGAAGCCCTGTGACCAGCAAGAATATCAACTGGTTCTTACCGCAGTGACCACTGTGACACAGCTAAGCCTACTTGGCACTGGGTCTCACTACACAGCTCAGACTTGTAACAATCATCCTGTTTTCAGCCTCTCCAGCGCTGAGATTACAGATGTGCACCACCACGCCCCTTCTCAGTGACCTGCTTGGCACTCCCAGGGGTGGGCCGCTCATGGCTTGTGGTGCCAGGGATTGAACCTCAGTCCTGTACTTGCCTAAGCAGACACTTAGTCCCCTGAGCTCTCTTGTTGGCCCTCTGAGGAGTTTAAAGAAAAACCACTTCTTTCCTAGTGTGGTGGTTCATGCCTGTAATGACAGGACTCAGGAGGCTGAGGCAGGAAGGTTCCTCCAAGTTCGAGGTCAGTCTGTGCTATACGTAGTGAGCTCAAGGCCAGTCCGAACATTTTAGTAAGATCCTGTCTCAAAACAAACAAACCTAAGAATGAGAGACTTGGGCCAGGAATATAGCTCAGGGACACAAGTGCTTCCCTGACAAGTGTAAGGATCAGAGTTTGATCCCCAGTACAAGAAATTAGAAAGAAAAAGAAAAAAAAGAATGACTTTCTTATCCTATCTTCTGTATATGAAAGGGGAAAAAAAAAAAAAAAAAGCTCAAAGCAGAACTGCCTGGAATTAGGACCAAAAACAGTTGTTTTTTTTTTCTTTTTGTGGTCTTGGGGTTAAATTGAGGGACTTTGTGTCAACTACATTACCAGGCCTTTACATTTTTTAAAAAATATGGAGACATGGTCTTATATGTGGCCCAGGCTGGCCTCGAACTCGAGGCAACTCTCCTGCCCCAGCCTCCTGAGTGCTGGGGTCACAGGCGCGTGCACCCTGCCTGGCGAGCCTCGTTCTCAGGGCTGGTGCTGCTGCTGGCACCTGCGGCAGGGCAGAGATCAGGAGTACCTTTGCTGAGCACTTACGCTGCACAGTGATGGAGCTGCCCCCTGCCCTGAGGAAGGGCTGTGCATTGCTCCTTGCTTCCAAGGCCCCCCAGGGAAGGAGCAGGCAGGAAGGAGCGGAGGGCCAGGCTGGGGCTCCGCCGCTTGCCAAGGCTGGGAGCCTAGCTCGCTCCACTCACCGCTCCTACCACCACTGCGAGTTCTCCGCCCCAAGACTCCAGGCAGCACCTGAACAGAAAGTCACCCACCCAGGGCCGCTGCCCAGAGACTCAAGACCTAGTGAGCTGGGCTTCACCTCCCTGGAGAGAATGGCATCTCATGTAGTAACCGGGGAGCAGATGCCACTCGAGAGTGAACAAAGCGGGCAATGTGGAGCCAGCCCCAGCAGCAGAGTGGGGGGCTGTGTGGGCCTGCACGCACGGCACAGGCGCATTCGCTGTGCCCACACAGCCTCCTGGGACAAGGACGCACTTAGAGAGCGGCGCCACTGACTGGGCACCACTGACTGACGGCTGCCTGAACAGGGGCCACCTAGTGCTGGCGGCGGGGGCAGAACTTCTCTGGGGCTCCAGGTCTGGTGTTCATGGTGGAGTCCCCCATCCCGACACTCAGCATGTGTGCCCAGGCCCGAGCCTGCCACAGCAGACTGTAGCTGAGTAGGCCAGTGTGAAGGTGGCAGGGCCTGGAGGGGCCTCAGGCTCACTCCATAACCACACGGTGCCACTGTGCAGAGAGAACACGGTGTGAGGGATAGCTCAGACCAACTGGCAAGGAAGAAAAGACCCTAAAAGACCACATTCAGGTTCAGCCTTTCCTCCTGGGGCTACAGAACCAAAGTCAGATCCAGCCCTAAGTACAGGCCTGCGACAACTCAGCCAAGCCAACAGCCCTGGCCCACAGCAATGGCCCTTGCACACGGTGCAGGTTCTACCCGGCTGCAGCAGGGGCAATGGGAGAATTCCACCTGTGCTCCCAGACAGCCCAGGGGCTGGCCGCTGCTGGCCTGGCCTGCTCCCCACCAGGGGTTGAGGTGTAGGCACATGCAGTGCTGGGGACTGGACCCAGGGCCTTATGGTTGCTGGCCAGGCAGGCATCCTACGAGCTGCCCCAGCTGCTGCCCCACCCCTGCAGGGACCAAACCCACCACCTCCCACTAGGTCAGTTACATCCTCTGCTCCTCTAGTGCTTGCCGAGCACACACTGGTTCTGATTTGGCCTCTACTGCAAGGAAGGGAAACGGACCGCCACCTGGTGTGGGGTGCACCGGGCATCCTCACACATTTCCACACACGCATTCAGAACAGCAGGGGACGCAGCATTCCCACTGAGGATGCCTGCCCTTCCTAGAGGCTGCCCCACTCAGATCCTGTCCTGCTGGGGCACTTAGGTGGAACTCACCTACCCAGCTCGGCACCTGCACCTGGAGCCCACCGCTGCAGCAGGGCTGCACATCTCTGGCTCATCAAGGTCCTGGCAAGCGGCTGCAGGGTGGGTGGCACTGAGGACACTGTGCTGAGGCCCAGCCCCTCCCTTGGGGGTGGAGGTGGCAGATACACTCCGCTCCTGGCCTGCTGTGCTATTTCAAAATGTATTTGTATTTCTAAGCCTCTATGGTCAGAAAACTGCAGCTCCACACACCTGTCCTCCTGCACGGGACCTGCCAGACCTGTGCATCCTGAGCGGGCGGGCAGACTCTCCTCATCTCAGGTGACCACCAACAGCCCTGCCTCGCGAGCCATCACTGGGCCAAGTGATCACACCACGCAGCCAGGGCTGGTGACCACCAGCCACCTCTGTGGTTCTAGGGCAGCTACACTAGAAACTGGACACGCCACCACGAGTGCTGCAACAGGCCCATCTAAACTCGTGGCCTGCAAAACTTGCCATTTGCTCAATAGCCACTTCCAGGTTGAACTATTTCTGAGCGCTAACCGTGGGAGGCGCCAGCCAGCGGCACTGCACCAGGCTACAGGCGTGAGGGTCCACGATGCTCTCCCAGCTGCGGGAGACGCTACTGTTTACCCAACACGTGTCTGTCGCTGCTACACATGGGTGAAGACTTCGGCCACCGTCCCCCCACAGTGCGCCGTGGAGCTCGCCCGCACACCCAGCTCCTGGAAGGCTGAGGCAGAAGAGGGTCACAGTTCAAGGCCAGCTGAGTTAAGACCCTGTCTCAGAGTTAAAAGCAAAACAAAAACAACTGGACATGTATTTCTGCGGCACAGCACGTGGTTTGCATGTAGAGGTCCAGGGTTCAATCCCCGGGACAAAAAGGGGAGCACTGAAATAAATATTAAAACCAGACTAAAATTCCTCATCAAGTTGAATTATCTTAACATTTATTTCAGGCTGGGGAGATGGCTTGGTGGCATAAGTACCTGGCAAGGTCAGTGGCAAGCGCAACGTCCTGAATTTGATCCCCAGTACTGAAAACAAAAATTTATTCCAAGGCGGGGCACGGTGCCGACACCAGTAATCCCAGCACTTGGGAGGCTGAGGCAGGAAGATCACTGTGATTCGAGTCAAGTTTGGGCTACGAAGTGAGTTCAAGGCAGCCTGAACTACATAGCGAGACACCGTCACAAGGGGGGAAGGAGATAGCTCAGTGGCATAAGCCTACCTGGCAAACATAAGGTCCTGAGTTTGATCCCTGGTACCAAAAATATTTATTCCAGAGGAAGAGAGGGAGGAAAGGACAATAGTTTACTCTGCCCTGGTGCATGAAAAGGAACGGCATGGTTTCATTACTCTGTAGCACTGTAACCTAGGAAATGTTACTTAGCTTTTAATTTACGTAGAGCAGAGCTATCCTATGTGCCTCTGCTGGTCTCAAACCTGAGATCTTTCTGCCTCAGCCTTCCAAAAAGCCTTGTGTCCCACTCCCTCCACCTACCTTAAATTTTTATAAGACAAATCAAAACATACTGCCCTACTTTTATTCCCAATATTTGCTTAAAACATTTTTTTATTTGTTTTTTTGGGTTTTTTTTCGGAACCGGGGATTGAACTCAGGCCCTTGTGCTTGCCAAGGAAGCGCTT